ACTTCCGGTCCATTGCTCCATCTACTTCTTTCAGAATTACAGCTACATAGAAAAGGAATGGGCTACCTTCACTAAGTGTTTTCCACCCCAAAGGATGAGTGACCTTCTTGAATACCAGATGCAAGTGGGAATTGGGGTGATGGGGGGTGAGGGAAGCAGTTAGTTGGTGAAATAACCATATGGGCGAAAAACAGCAAAGAGGGAAAAAGTAATTGTTTAGAAGGAAAAAAAGTTGGTATTTTAAAGACTCAGCATGAAGGAATCACTTGTGACCTGGTAATTAAAAAAAAAAAAGGCAGCCAGTTGTTTGAAAGGAGTCTCTTGGTGGACAGGTTGTGGCTTGTTGGGGAGCCACACCTTACTGACACTCCCCTGACAGCACTCCCCTTCAGGCTGTATTAGGGCCATGAATAAGGTTACCTCCTTCATACGGCATTTTTCTAAGTCGAGAAGCTGGTTGTTAGACCCTTGTAGATACCCACGTTCTGGAGTTCCCCATCTTTAGTCATAGACCTTTTCAGCCTAAGTACTTTAAAACCCCGAAACCTGAGATACCTATCTCTCCCTAGAGAAATTGAGTAAGAAGTTATCTCCAAACCTGTGGGTGAGAGTGCCTAAGGTAATCTCTGCCTAGTGGAGAGATAAGTAAATATTGCGTCTTTCTGAATATAGGTCACCCCCAATACAAGCCACACCTCACAAAATTCGATTTGTCTGAAAGGGAAATATATATATATATATAGGCAAAAACTAAAAAAAGGGACAAGTTCTGGGGCACATTGGAATTTTCTCCAAGAGAGGTTTTGTGGGAAAGCACAGTTTATTTTCAGACCACCACAAGTATTTGTCCTGGAGTCCTTAAAGGAAAGATAAAAGACCCTTCAGTTAGGGGAGGAATAAAGTAATAGAAGAGGTGGCAACATTTCTTTTTTCTCAGTTCCATCTCTCACCTTTTTATTGCTTTATTGTTATTTAATATCTCACCTAGGCTAGTACCTCAGTCAATCGGGTTTAAGTGACTTGCCGAGGCTCATACAGTTAGTCGTGTGTTTGGTCTGAGGCCAGATTTGAACTCAGGTCCTCCTGACTTCAGGGCCAGTGCTCTATCCACTGCACCACCTAGCTGCCCCTGTACCTTGTCATTCTAAAGCACTTTATATACATTTGGTAATCATAAGGCAGGTGACTCTTGGGGTTGGAGAGTGGGCTCAAAAGGAAACCATATGGCGCAATGATTCCCAACTGGATGGTGCCTAGTGGACTCCCTGTCAGCTGTGGGCCCAGCACAAAGTCATTTGCCCCTCTTGGCCTCAGTTTCCCCAAAAGAGCAACCACTCACTTTTCTATATTACTGCAAAGTTCACAAAACGTTTCCCTCACCACAACCCTACAAGAAAGGTAGTATATGTTGTTGTTGTCATTAATTAGTAACGCAGTGGGCTCAGACCTAGGCTCAGACGATGCTCCCCTTACAGAACACAGGATGGTGGTCATAGAGGGGGCAGGAACCTTTAAGGACATCTTGTCCAACCTCTTCATTTTACACTTAAAGAAACTGAGGCCCAGAAGGATGACATAACTTGGGGTGTTTGAATTTAGAGATGGAAGGGACCTTGGTCATTATCCAGTCCAACTCCTTGAGGAGACTGAGACTTGGAAAAATGAAACTTGCCTGAGCTTGGCCCAGGAAATAATAGAACTCAGTTTTAACCCCTTCTTCACTCCCATTCTTTCTTGAAGACACACATTCACCTAGTGAACTGGCAGACACCAGCTAGAGCCCAGATCCGAGCCTAAAGCCAGCACTCTTCCCATTATGCCCCACAATCTCGTTGGCTTTGTATTCAACATCCCTCCTGGCTCAGGGATTTCATGAGAACTTCAAGGCAGAAGGAAAAATAACTTAGTGAATTTGAAAACTCCACATAGGAATCCCAGGCTCCTTCTATCATTCTCCTGACAGACCCAAGTTCTCAGTCTTGGCCAGCCCTGCCAAACCTTCTTAGCTTCCTCACTGCTTGTCCTTTCCACTGTGAGCTAACTATACTTTAGTTCTCTTTTTTTTTTTTAATAAAATTTTATTTTCCCCCAACTAACATGTTGAAAACAATTTTTAGGGGCAGCTAGGTGGCATAGTGGATAGAGCACTGGCCCTGGATTCAGGAGGACCTGAGTTCAAATTCAGCCTCAGACACATAACACTTACTAGCTGTGTGACCCTGGGCAAGTCACTTAAACCCATTGCCTAAGCAAAAAACAAAAGCAAAATAATTTTTAATATTTGTTCTTTTTTTATGTTTTGAGCTCCAAATTCTATCCTTTTCCTGCCCCTCTCCCTGAGGTAGTAAAAAAATCTGAAACGTTATACATTACACTTTAATTCTAATGATGATTAACATTTCTGGAGAGACTTATAGTTTACAAACCCTTTTCTTCCTCTTAACCCTAGGAGACTGGACAATGTAAATGTAATCATGCTCATTTTACAGAAGAGGTTAAAGGGTCTAGTCCAGGCTCAACCCACAAATAAGTGAAAGTGTCAGAATTTGAACCCAGCTCTTTCCAGAAGACAAGTCCAACATTTTTTTTTCACCGAGTCATTGAGTCTCACTCCATTTTTCCAGACTGCAAATTATAGTAAGGCCCAGTACTCAGGAAGGCAGCAAAATTTTAAATTTGACTCCCTCCACCCCACTTCACCTGGGTTTAAAGTGTAAGAGACTTTCCCCAGCCTAGAGGGTAGAGCAACAAAAGCATTTATGTATTTATGTGATACACAAACAAACATATTCCCTCAAGGCAGTACAGAGAATTTAGCAGGGTGTGTGCAGTTTCAAGCTTCAAGAAATTCTTGAACACCCACTTCAAAGAGCAGAGTAGAGCCCCCTACCTCCCCATACCACCCGTCTCATCAACTAGTCCAGCCTCATCAGAAAAAGTGCTAAAAAGACACACCTAAATGCTTGGGGCCCTTCTAGACAAAAGCCTGGAATGCTGGAGTAGGAAGAAAAGCAAAAGACCAGATTTATGGGGAGGGGGAGGAAGTTGAGAAAGGTGAGATAGGGAGTAGGATGAAGGAGAAACGGAAGACAAAAAAGGGGAAGGTGGGAAAGAAGGAGAAAGGAGGGGAGAAAGAAGAGGATAGTAAGGAGAAAAAAAAGGAGGAAAAAGAAGAGGGGAAAAAAGAGGAGGAAGTCAAATGGGTTCACAGGCGATTGACCTCAGCCAGTAGGTAGGAGTGGGGGGAAGAGGGCTAGGCTGGGCTAAAAGGTCCCAGCAGCTGGGTCCCCCTCCTCCCTCCACCCTTCAGTAGCTGTGATGACTCCTACCGAATTCTTATTTAATGACAAAGCTTAGAAACTTCCCCGAGACCAGAGAACAGTCTGCATTCTTCTGACCCCACCTCAAGTACCTGGTATTAAAGCAGTCCTCTCCAGGGGAATGGAAACCTAGGAGAGCAGCTTCCACAAGGTTGTGGCTTTGAACCCAGAACCTCAACAGCACAGGATCAAAGGTACCCCAGGGGCTCAGAGACATCAGCAATGGGTTTAGAGCCAGAAGACTGAGTTTAGAATCTCAGCTCCGCCCAGTCCTGGATTACTGGCTTTGTGACCTTGGGCAAGTCTGGGCCTCAGTTTCTTCACCTGTAAAATAAGCAGAGTGTACTAGATGGCTGCTAAGGCGAGGCATCTCCCAGTTTTGTGCTGTAGTCTCAGACAATTCCAAGAAGAGAGAGGGCACTTTGGAATCCCCGCCTCAGCCAAGGCCCCCTGAGTATTTTAAATAGCAAACCTGAGCAGTCCTTGGGAAAGTGGATGGAGAAGTCACAAAGGCCTTTCGATGTTTTATGGGTTTTCTTCATGTTTTATTAAATCCAACAGCTTATAAAAATTCTGACATCAAAGACAACACACACACATTTTGCAAAATAGACTGACCAGCTAAGCGTACCAATAACAAGTAGTAACATTAAGGAGCTATACAGAAGCATGGGGGAGCAGATACAGAGTCCCCCTCAAAACCAAGTCATGGAAACTGCATTTCAGACCAGCGTCACAGGATGGATGGGGACCCAGCTAGTAATACAAACGGCTGCAAATGAGTATATTACAGAGAACCAAATCCTTGTTCCATGGTGAACACCATTATACAAAGTGGGAAATTTAGAAGATGCCCATTGTTTGTTTTTAACTGTGGGAGATAATGAAATTAGCTTAAACCCAAAAAGTGGGGCCCATCCAAATTCATTTAAGATTTGGAAAATCTCTTTACAACACTTTCAGATGCTACCTAGCCGTAATAAATAGAAGTCAGCAAGTGGGAAGACTTAAGCACCCAGATGGACATTCAATAGAAACCCACTTCACCCTTTCTAGTTCCTACTAGTTCCTGGTTTTCAGAGTCATATTTCTGTCCTAGGACTGAAATGATTGGGCTGTTTTGCAGATTCTTTTCCTTAGGGTTAACATCTAACATTTAGAGAGAGTTTGCTTTATATACATTATTTCCCTCAACAGTCACAACAAGCCTAGGAGGTAGGTGGTTTTTTTTTAACCTCCATTTTACAGACGAAGAAACAAAGGCTCAGAAAAGTTAAGTAAGTTGTCCAGGGCCACACAGCTAGGACATGAAGGCAGACAGGACTGAGAGCAAAGAATATGATAAAGTGGAAAGGGCTTAGGAGACTAGGTAAAAGAAGGTGGCCAAAGATTTAGTCCTAATTGTACCTCTAACTAGAATCCTACACGGAACAGAATTTTAAGTGCCAGAAGGTACTTTAGAACAGAGGATGTTAGACCATGGAACGTGTACTGTCAGGGCTGAAAGGGACCTCAGAACATAGAACCTAAGAATGTTAGAACTGAATAAGACGTGAACATGGAACACAGACTATCAGAGCTAGAAGGGACCTTAAAGCAAAAATGTTAGACGGGCTTTGTCATGTCTTCCCGGTCCTCAGTTTCTGCGATCCCTTCTAACACAAAGATTCTTTTTTTGGGGGGGGGGGGTGACAGCAGGGAAAGTCTCAGTCCATCCAAGAAACTGGAAAGCCGAGGATCCCGCGCACCCAACTTCTATTCCTGAGGGAGGAGGCTCTTTGGCTGCAAAGAATCCCTCTCCCCTCCCCTCCCCCTCCCCAGCATCCTCGCAAACAAGTCTGGTCCTTACAAGTTGGGCTGTTTGTTCATCTCGCCCATTTCCTTGATTTCTACTTTCTCGTATTTTCCTGACTTCTTCTTCTTGCTAATGACCAGGACCACGATGCCAGCCAAGATGGCCAGAGCCAGGACCACGATGACCGCGATCAGCCCGGCGGTCATCCTCTTCATGGAGAACTGGGGGGGCTTGTCGTCCACGTAGTAAATCATCGTGTCCTCCACTCGCAGGGGCTCCCCTCTGACCTCGAGGTTAAGGTGCGGACTGTGAAACACAGACTCCCCCTTGACATCCCTCTCGAAGTAATAGGCCACATCGGCGATGTCCACGTCGCCGTGGGCCTTCTGGGAGGCGTTCTGCTGCAACTCGATCTGGATGGTGGGGCTCTCGTACTCCACGGCCGTGATGTACTTGGGGCTCAGCTGGTAGCGCTCGTGGAAGAAGCGCCGCACCGCCTGACTGAGGTCCGAGTGGTTTAAGGCTCGGGGGCGCTCCTGGTGCCGTAGGTTAATGAGGATGTAGCTGGTGCGCACCAGCTCGTCGCACTTCAGCGTCTGGTCCCCCTTATCGGTCCGCCGCACGCCCACCGAGTTAACGCACCAGCACACGTCGCTCTGGTTGCACTGGCGGGCCTTGAAGCGGCCCCAGCTGTCACAGTCCGGGTTGTACAGACCGTCGTTGTCCACGACCGCGTGCTCGCTGGGCTTGATCAGCTTGCGGGGTTTGTGCGGGCTCATGCGCGCCTTCATGAGCAAGCACTTGGAGGTCAGGGTGGTGCAGTTCACCACGTGGCTGGAGCCCAAGACCTTGCACTGACAGCTGCCCCCGGCTCCCACCAGGCTGCAGATGGTCCACTTGTTGGTGGGGCAGGTGCAGTTCTGGGCTGCTGTCCAGCCAGCCGCCGCCACCAGGAGCAACGCCAGCGCCAGTGGCTGGGCCATGCTCAGCGAGGGTGGGAGACCCAGGGAGGAAGGAGGGAGAAAGGAGCAGCAGGTGCCGGGCTGGAACCTCACTGAGCGGCCGGGCTGGTTGGTGCAGGATCCCAAGGTGTCTATGCCCAGGAGAGCTGTGTCCTCCTGCTTTTTATAGGACGTCCGACCTGCACTGCAGGTTCCACCACTGACTCACCTACAGGAATGTTGATGTCACATTAGCCCCAGTAGCAGCAGGGCAGGGGAGCCAGACAGCCAGAGCTGCTGCACCTCCTCCCACGGTGCCCCGCCAGCTATCTGGGGAGCGGGGAGCTGGGACTGTGCGCCTCCCGAAACTCCCCCCCCACCCAAGAAAAGAGAAGAGAGGGAACAATCTAGATTCCCACGAACACCCCTTACCCTCATCTCTGGGCCTGTCTTGGCCCCGGCCCCTCAGGTAATGAAATCAACACCTGCCCCAGCCACTGGACTAGTGGTCAACGTGAACCAGAACTCAGAGCTCCTCCCCTCTGGGACCGAGCAACCAAGGTGTGTCTCGGAAACACGCCCACAGAAGCACCTGCCTCTCCCCTCTCCCATCTCCCTTCCCCATCTCGCTGGGTAAGGATGTTTCTCAGAATTATTGCTGTTTTTGCCCCCTTTCTCTTTGTATTTTTCTTCCCTCGACTTTCTCTCCTTCCTCTGTTCTCTTTGGTCGATCGCTTCCTCCTTTCTTTCCCCCTCCCTTTCTTTCCTTTCTCTCCTTTTCCCTCTCTCCCCCTTTCACCTTTTCCTCTCTCTTCTCTCCTCATCTCGTCTCTCTCCCTTCTTTTCTACCCCTTTCTTCTCTTTTTCCCTCTCTACTTTTTCTTTTCCCTTTTTCCTACCCTTCCTCTTTTCTTTCTCTCAATTTCCTTTCTCCCCTTTACTCTTTCCTCTCTCTTTTTCTTCCCCTTTCTCCATTTTGCTCCATCTCCCTTTTTCATTCTTTCTCTCTTCTTTCCCCTCTCCTCCTTTTCCTCTTCTCCCCTCTCCTCTTTCCCCTTCTATCTTTTTCTCTCTCCTTCTTCTTCCCCTTCCTCACTTTCCCCTCTTTCTCTAAAGTAAATGGCAAAGCATCTCAAAAGACTTCAGTGGATAGTATTCACTCTTAACATTTGATAACTAGGAGCTAGCTAAGTGTCAGGACCAGCTCAGGTTTATATTAGCAAAGTGCTTGGCACAAAGTGTAGACTTTAAACTGCTTATTTGATTGGGTTCAAATCCCATTTCTGACACTACCTGTGTGTGACCTTGGGAAAGTTACTTAATCTCCCCAAACTTCAATTTCCTTTTCTGCAAAATTATAGGATTGAACTAGACAGCCTTCTAGTTGCCTTCCAGCTTTAGCTCTAAAGACCTGTGGGAGTACATGAAAGTTAGCCTTATCCCTGCCCATCATTCCATTAATCTTCAAACAATTCACTTCACCTCTGCCTCAGTTTCCTCAGCTGAAAATGGGGATAATAATAGCATCTACCTTACAGGGTTGTGAGGATCCAATGAAAAAAGAAATAGCACAATCCTATAATGACTGCCATTTATACAGCTATTTGATATTTGCCAAGTACTTTTCACATATCCTTTTAATTGAGCCTCAGAACAACTCTGAGGTAGGAACAGTCATTTTATGAATGAGGAAACTGAGGCTTGGTAACTTTCCCATGGTTATACACCTAAGAAGCATGGGAGGTGAAGTTTAAACCCACATCTTTGACCTCTAAGCTCTGTTCTCGATTTACTCTGCCACCTAAGAGACACACCTCACAAAACCCAGAGAGGTCAGCTGTGCAGGGATTAGGCCAGTTTCAGAGAAAAGGAGATGAAGGCCCAGATGATTAAGCCTTATAATTATGATCTATTAAGTGTCTAAGAGCAGAGACTGTCTTTGTACCTTCAGTGCCTGGCACACAGTAGATGCTTAATAAATAAGCGTCAGTTGACTGATTCAAGTCCAGATCTTTCGATTCCAAGTCCAGTACTCTTTCCACTATGCAATACTGGCCATCTAGGCAAAATAAATAGAGATCTTGGTTGTAATAAAAGGAAGTAGAATGCTTCAAAGTTTCAAGTCACTCCAGTGATTTTCCTTCAGTACAGGTCTGAGTACGTCACTCTCCTAGTTAATAAATTCTGCTGTCTTTCTATTTCCTCTAAGATCAAATACACACTCCTCTGTTAGGCATTCAACACTTTCACCACCTCGCCCCAGTCTTTAGTACCTTTCTTTCTTTCTTTCTTTTTTTTTTTGGCTAGGCAATGGGTTAAGTAACTTGCCCAGGGTCACACAGCTAGTTAAGTGTTATGTGTCTGAGGCCGGATTTGAACTCAGGTCCTCCTGAATTCAGGGCTGGTGCTCTATCCACTGCACCACCTAGCTGCCCCCTTTTAGTACCTTTCTTGGATGTGACTTGTGGGTATATTCTTTCAAGCCCCAATATATTGGCTGCGTGTTGCTTGGCACACATGATGTGCCATCTCCCTTCCCCACATCTTAATAATTGCTTGTCAACTGACTGGCGATCCTGTACTTGGAATGCGCTGACTCTCCTCACCTCTGCATGTTAGAATCCAGCAGCACCTTCCACATGAGGCCTTTCCTGATGTGCTTTTACTGCTAATGCCTTCTCCCAAATTAATTCTAATCACTAATATACGTGTAAGAAGCAGCAAGGTGAGCTGGTCTGGAAGCCAGGAAGACCCAGTTCCAATCCTGCCTCTGATTATATTGGCTAAGTCACTCACAGAGCCCCAAGCAATTCTCTAGGATTGCAGAGAAGGTGTAGACCCACACTGGTGGAGGGACCATAGCAATAAAACCACACATCCAGTCCCTCTGCTTATATAGGTGGCCCAATGGATAGAGGGCTGAAGCTGAAGTCAGTAAGTCCTTACTTCAAATCAAGTCTCAGACCTTCATTGAGCTTTGTGGCCCAGAGCAAATCTCATAACCTCTGTCTGCCTCAGTTTCCTCATCTGTAAAATGGAGATCATAATAGCACCTACTTCCTAGGGTTGTCATGAGGATCAAATGAGATCATATTTCTAAAGTGCTTTGCAAGCCTAAAAACACTGTTAAATGCTAATTATTATTGTTGTTATTATTATGTTTGTCTTTTAAACGGAATATAAACTCCTTCAGAACACAACTATTTCATAGCAGCTGACACACAGTATATGAGTCGTTGATTCATTGTTTAGTTTCCAGTCATGTTCGATTCTTCCTGACTCCATTTGGAGTTTTCTTGGTGAAGATACTGGAGTGGTTTGCCATTTTCTTCTTTAGCTCATTTTTACAGATGAGGAAATGGAGACAAACAGGGTTAAGTGACTTGACCAGGGCCACACAGCTAGTAAGTGTCTGAGGCCAGCTTTGAACTCAGGTCTTCCTGACTCCAGGTCCATTACTCTATCCATTGTGCCACCCAGCTGTCCCACTGATTGATTCAAGGGCCATAAATTTCTCAGAGTGAGGAATCCCTCATTGTAGCCCCTCTCTACTTTAGCAGGACTTCACAAGTTGCTCTGGCCCAAAGGGCCAGCTGCCTAGAGACAGCTAGTTGAGACAGCAGATACAGAGCTAAGCCTGGCTGGAGTCAAGGAGACCTGAGTTCAACTGTGACCTCAGTCACTTACTAGCTATCTGACGCTGGGCAAATCATTTAACGTTTGTGTGCCTCAGTTTCCCCAACTGTAAAATAAATTATTAATAGCACCTGCCTCCTGCCGCTGTGGTGAGGATCAAATGAGATATGATTTCTCAAGCACTTATCACAGCGCCTGGCACATAGTAGGCACTTACTAAAGCTTCTTTCCTTCCTTCCAAAAAGAAAATCATCACTTGGCAACTGACATTTTGGTGCTGAGCCTCTGGGCATTTAAGTTGGGCTCCTCTCAAACAACAGACTCAGGCTTGTGTTGGACCTTGACCTTCCATCTCTGGAGGACACACTGGAGTTGAGTTCCCAGAGACACCCCTATGCCATGCCACGCCATGCCACAGTACCAGAACAGGACTTCAAAGGATGGATGACAATAATAACAGCTGACTTTAGGTCCCATTTTAGGGTCAACAACAGCCTGTATCTACTCAGTTTCATGGGATCTTCACAGCCCTGTGAGGTGGATGGTACGAGTATTATGACTATTTTACAAGTAAAGAAACTGTGGGTCAGAAAGGTTAAATTTAAGTGACCTGCCCAAGATCACCCAGTGGGAGGCTGATAAAAACTCTGGTCTCCTGACTCTTACTGGTCTAGTAAATGACCAGGTATCCCATCTAGTTATCAGCCAGCAGCAGGAATGTGCATAGACAGTGGAATTCTTAATTACCCAGTGCCACCACCCCTCTCCCACTCACCTGAGTCCCCTGGGCGACCAGCGAGTGTTAAGGGAGTTTGGGCTGGGCACTGAGGGGCTGTGTGTGTCTGACCCTGAGAGCTGAATGTAAAAGGCTAATACATAGGACTGATTTTTAAGTCAGTTGCTCTTTTTGACTCGTGTGCTATGTTATCATGAATCATCAATCAATTTGAATAAATCATTTCCTATCAATGAAGACATTAATGAACCTATTGTATGTGTTACGGACATGGACAGAGGAGAGGGAATTAGAGAGGGTAGGAACTAGGATAAGGAAATTAACTAACCTCTTTGGGCTTCAATTACCTCACTTGTCAAACCAGGGGGTTAGACTAAAAAGATCCTGAGGGTTCTTTCATGTTCTACTGTTCTAGGTCCTAATCTAGTTCTAACGTCCTATTTTCTCTAGTCCCTTCTAGCCCTTAGGTCTTAGATTTAGAAATGGAAGGTCTGTTTTAATATTCTATCTAAAGTCCCATCCATTCTGGGTTCTAAGATTCCTCCTAGCTCTAAATTTCTATGTTTCATTTTCTGTGTTCTAAGGACCTTTCTAGCTCTGGCATTCAATGCTTTATGTTCTAAGGTTCTAAGCATCAGGGTTCTAACATTCTATGTTCTAGCATCCCATGTTGTAAGGCTAAAATTCCCAGCACTAGCTACTTTGCAAGGCTGAGGGGAGGAACCCTTGAACTAATAAAATAAACTGCCTCGGTTGGCTGATTTGCCAGGAGAGCTCCATTCTATCCCAGGCAAGCTGTTCTAGGTAAACACCATCACATGAGTGTAGGAATCCCATATTGTTAATGATTTCTCTCCCCAGCCTTCAGAGCCCTTTCTCTCCCTCCCCTTCCTTCTCCAGTGACTTTCCTCACAAAGACTCGGCATTTACAAGTTCAATTCACCTGTGACTAATTCCTTTTTCACTCTCTGTCTGTCCCTTTAGGACTCATGGCTGAATGAGGCTCTCCTTTCTCCAGGTCACTTATTGTCTTTGGGAAGGACAGAGCTGGTCATTCCTAAGGGAGCTTCCTGTGACCACAAAATATAAGAAGCCATTGAGACTTCCCACCCCCTACCTCCCAGGTTTCTGCTATTCATGGTAAAGCAATCATTCTTTAAAGTTGGAGCATGACCGCAGCCCAGGGCAGTGGGAAAACCACTGAACCAGGAGACCTAGATTCTAATCTCTCCTCTACTACTGGTCTAGTTATCTGGGGAAGTCAAGATCCTCATCCAGAAGAGGGGCAACCAGGATAGTGAAGGGTCTTGAGATTATGTTACACTGGGACAATTGGAGGACTGGGGATTTTTAGCCTGGAGAAGAGAAGACTGGGCAGGGAAGGGGGCATGGTAGTTGTACTCCACGATTGGAAGGGCTCTCATGTGGAAGAAGGAATTTCCCTGATCCATTTGGTCTCAGAGGGTCTATTCTGTCCAGAAGCAATGGACAGAAGTTGCAAAGAGACCACTTTGGGCTGGATGTCCAGAAAAGCTTCCCTCCCAGTTAGGGCTGCCCCAAAGTGGAACGGGCTGTCTTGAGAAAGGTGGGTTCTCCCTTCTTGGAGGGCTCCAAGCCGAAGCTGGGTGACCACTGGGTTGTACTGCAGATCCTTTTCATACATTGCAGGGTCTCAGTTTTCCTCCCTGGAAAATGGGAGAGTAGGACTAAATAATATGGCAGGTCACTTTCCAAAGTGATTATTTTGTGTTCTAAGGCCCTCCTTATATTACAGATTGAAAATGAAGGCCAAGAGCTCATAGGATCAGGGCTTGAGAGCTGAAAGGGACTGCAGAGGTCATTTCATGTAACCCCCTCATTTTACAGATAAAGAAACCAAGGCCCAGAGTTCAGTGACTTGCCCAATTTACTATTCAGATAGTAAATTCCTCAAGGCAGGTTTTAAACTGAGGTTTTCCAATTTCAAAGTCACTTTGCAACATATCAAGTTACTTCTAGGGCATTTGGTGGTATAATGGATAAAGCCCTGGACCTGGAGCCAGGAAGACATGAGTCCAGATCCAGCCTCAGACTTACTAGCTGTGTGTCTGGGCAAGACATTTAACCTGCCTGCCTCAGTTTCCTGATCTATAAAAAGGAGATAATAGCACCTGCCTCTCAAAGTTGTTGTGAAGATAAAATGAGATAATGTCTATGAGGTACTTTATAAACCTGAAAGCACTGTACAAATGCTAGCTGTTATTATTCTAGACAGGAAAACGGAAAGCGATTTGCCCAAAGTTGCACAGACAGGACTCAGACCCCGGCCTGCCCATGCTGAGGCCAGGGCTAGTTTTACTGTGTGACAGTTCCCCTCTTCTTGTCCTTTTCAAGAACCCCAGGTCACAGGGACATGGCTGAAGCTGCTGCCATAGGTCAAGATTGGAAATCAGTTTGTTGGGATTTCTGATCTTTTATTTATTTTTTGAAATGAGTTTTATAAGTTGCTTTTGTTTTTGAATTCCAGTCATCTCCATCTCTCTCTACTGCCTACCATTGAGCCCTCTCTTATCCCAAAGACAAGAAGTAGAACTGCTATAGTGCTTGAGTCTGTCAAGGTATGCAACATTCTGTCCCCATAAACACCCGCCTCTCTGCTGAGAGGGGCTGAGCATGTTTCATTGTCGCTTTTTTTGAGTCCAAGATGGATTCCTGTTTTACCCCGGGTGTAAGTACATTTCAGAACTCACAGAATCAAAGTGTGGGAGTTGCATGAGCCTGAAACATGCTGGGCCTCCTTGGAGATGGCCTTATCCAATACCCTTAGTTGCTAGAGGGGAAAAGTGAGGCCCACAAAGGGACAAAGAATTGCCCAAAGCCTGGCCTTCTGGCCTGTGCACTGCCTACCTTCTTCCTGGGGCTGGTCCCTTTTCAAACAAGGACCATAATTTTCCCACCTGGGTATTTCCTAAGGGGAAAAGCCTGTCCTTGCACCTATTCCTCCAGATTCTCTACCTGTAGCTTTGACATAATGTCTTTAAGCAGCATCAAGTGAGAAAGAGCCAGCCAGCTGGTGTGAGTCACTGATGCAGGCCTGGACAGTCAGGAAAGGCCATCCATTGACAAACATTCATTCTGTGCCAGCTATGCTCAAAGCACTTAGTCTTACATCCTGGATACTAGAGACAGGGAAAAAAAAAGGAGAAGATTCAGTCCCTGCATTCATTGTGATTATAGTCATGAAACCATGCCATAATTTCAGAACACTTATTGAAGCAACTTACAAACTAGTGAGCCTCTTCAGTGAGATTCATAGAAGTATGAAAAAGATAGGCCTAATCATCAAGCTGGGAAAAACAAAGTGGATGAAATATCTAAGATGTGCTGCTAAATGGGGCAGCCCATTGAGTTGGTCTGTGAGTACACATTGGATGGACATTAGAGATGGACAAAGAGCTGGGAATTCTATTCTGAAAGAATTCTCTCCAATTCAATTCTATTCAATAAGAAGAGAATCATAGGATTTGAAACTGGAGGGAACTTTAGAAGCCAGTCCTTCATTTCACAAAAGAAAGTGGAACCCAGGAAGTTTAAGTGACTCTTCTAAGGTTTCCTAGTTAGCAGATGGCAGGGCAAGAGTCAAACCCGCGCCATAAACACAGAGATCTAGAGGTGAGTCTTGGAAGCCATTGAGTCTAACCCTTTTATTTTACAAATGAGGATATCGAGGCAAACAGAAACTGAGTGATTTGTTCAGGGTTACACAGCTAGTAAGTGTGGGAGGCCAGTTTAATAAATATTTGTTAATTGGTTGATTGATATAGCAGACTGAGGCTTACAAAGCACATTACATGTCTCTTATTTGAACCTCCCCAAAACTATGTAAGGTAAGAAGCACAGGATTATTATCTCCATTTTTGCTTATGAAGAAACCGAGATTCAAGATGACTTATCCCTGTTCGTGCCTCTAATTGCAGTGGTGGGATTTGAACCCAGGTTTTCCTGATTTGAAGTCTAGTATTCTTTCTACTTTACTATGACCCTGAGTGTTAGTCCTTTCTGAAATCACTTTGTATTTATTACAGTTTATTTGTTGTCCTCCTGAAGCAGTTTTTTCTACTGAAATATTACTGTTTCATTTTTTTTGTCTTTAACTCCAGAGCCTATCACATTTCTTTTTCTTTCTTTCTTTCTTTTTTTTTATGATTCTTCTTGGTCTTTCTTTTATTCATTTCTTTTTTTTTAATATAAATTTATTTATTTTTAGTTTTCAACATTCACTTCCACAAGTTTTTGAATTTCAAATTTTCACCCCATCTCCCCCCAAGATGGCATGCATTCTGAATGTCCTTTCCCCTGTCCTCTCTTCTATCTCTCTCCCCTTCTTTTATCCCCTTCCCCTTCTATTTTCCTGTAGGGCAGGATAGACTTCTGTACCCCATTTCCTGTATTTCTTATTTCCCAGTAGCATGTGAAAACTTTTTTTTTAAACCTATGTTTTAAAAACTTTAGGTTTCAAATTTTCTCTCTTCCTCCCTCCCCACCCACCCTCATTGAAAAGGCAGGCAACTCAATATAAGTTGTACATGTGCAGTTATGCAAAACACATCCATAGTAGACATGTTGTGAAAAACTAACTCTATTTCCCTTAATCATATCCTGCCCTCCCATTTATTCTATTCTTTCTTTTGACCCTGTCCCTCCTCAGAAGTATTTACTTCTGATGACCACCTTTCCCAATCTGCCCTCCTCTCTGTCATCCCCCTGCTCTCTTCTCCCCTTCTCCCCTATTTTCCTGTAGGATAAGACAGATTTCCATACCCAGTTGAATGTGTATGTTATTCTCCTTAAGCCAAATCCTATGAGAATAAGATTCACTCATTCCCTCTCACCTTCCCCATTTCCCCTCCACTGTAAGAGACTTTTCTGTTTTTTTTGTGAGATAATTTACCCCATTCTACCTCTCCCTTTTGTCTTCTCCGATTATCATCCTCTCTCATCCCTTAATTTTATTCTCCAGATATGACCCCTTCATCTTCAGCTCACCCTGTGCCCTCTGTCTATCTACATACAAATACATATAATTTTTTTCCTCTAACTACCCTAATACTGACAAAGGTCTCATGAGTTATAAACATCCTCTTTCCATGCAGGAATGTAAATGGTTCAGTCTTAATAAGTCAGAGCCTATCACATTTCCAGAAATACAGGATGCTGCATGTAACACGGTATGTTGGGAAGCAGTTCAATTCAATTGAATTTCTTGAACATTTCCAGTGACGGGAACTCACTACTTTCCAAAATCAATATTGGACATCTTTCATCATTTGGAGGGGCAGCTAGGTGGTGCAGTGGATAGAGCACAGGGCCTGGAGTCAGGAAGACGCATTTTCCTGATTTCAAATCTGGCTCAGACACTTACTAATGTGTGACCCTGGGCAGGCCACTCAACTCCATTTGCCTCAGTTTCCTCATCTGTAAAATGAGCTGGTTGTGTAGGGCTTCAAATGATAGAGCAGTTTGTATTCGATCCTAGGAGCAACAGGGAGCCGCTGAAGTTTACTGAGGAGGGGGGTGATGTAGTCAGACCTGCACTTCAGTAAAATCACTTTAGTGGCTGAATGGAGAAGGAAATGGAGTGGGAAGAGACCTGGGCGAGGCAGATCCACCATAGCTGTTGCGAGGTGCTGAGGGCCTGCACTGGAAGCAGATGGGTATAGTAGAAAGAGCTCTGGAGGTGGAACTGGGAAGCAAGGGTTTGAATCTCACCCTGAGGGGCCAGGAGGCACCATAGTGCACAAAGCTCTGGACCTGGAGTGAGAAGGACCTGAGTTCACATGTGGCCTCAGACGTCTACCAGCTGGACAACCCTAAGCAAGCCATTTCACCTCTATCTGCCTCGGGTTACTCATCTCTAAAATGGGGATAAGAACAGCCCCTACCTCCCAGGGTTGTTGTGAGGATCAAGTGGTAATAACTGAAAGTGCTTATCACGGTGTCTGGCACATAGCAGGTGCTCAATAAATGCTTATTCCCTTCCACTTCTGACACATTTATGTAGCATTTATATAGCACTTGAAGGTTTGCAAAGAGCTTGACAAAGTTTTCTTCATCTTATTCTCTTAGCAATGCTGGGAGGTAGGTATTATTGTCATCCCCATTTTACAAATGAGGAAATCAAGGCAGAGAAGTGTCTAAGACCAGCTTTGAACTTGGTTCTTCCTGACTCTAGTCCCAGCGCTCTATCCACTGGACCACCCAGCTGTGTGACCTTGGGTAAGTCACTTCCCTTTGGGCCTCACTTTCCTCAGGCATAAAATGGGAGATGGTGAAACTGGTTTCCTACCTCATAGGGCAGTCATGAGGAAAGTGCTTTATAGAATCAGACAATTTCAGAGGTGGGAGGGACCTCATTGGCTGAAATCCTGAATGGGAATCCTTTATACAACAACACTCCCAACAAGTGGTCATGAAGTCTTTGCTTGAAGGGAAGCCATGCTGCCTCCTCCAGGCAGCCCAACTGGATTTGGGATAGCTCTAAGTATTAGGAAGGCCTGATAGCAATTGGCTTCTTTGCAACTTTCATCCACTGATCTTAATTCTGCCTTCTGTGGACAAAGCAGAATATACCTGACCTCTCTTCTACGTGTCACTCCTTCAGATATCTGAAGACAGTCATCATGTCCTCCTCTCTCCTGAGGCTTCTCTTTTCCAGGCTAGAAAGCTCTCATTTCTTCAAATGCTTATCATTCAATTGATTGGCCCTCACGAGGTACAGCTTAAATTGCCTTTGCTATGCTGTATGTACCGTTCTCTTTGATTCATCAACATCCTTCCTAAACTGTGGTACCCCGAATGGGTCAACAGCCTCTAGGAACAGTCTGACCAGGCTTCTCTCTGGAAATCACACCTCCCTTAGCACAGTCCAAGATGGCGCTGGATTTCTTGGCCACCGGGTCTCGCTGGTGACTTCAAGTATCTTCCGTGGGAGTTGTTAACACTTATTCAACCAAGTTTAAAAATGGCTGTCCCTTCCCTCTTGAAGTGAAGCTATCATCTCCATGTCCTCCCTGGGCCTCAGCCACGATGGGGGCTGGAGCTGGTAGAAAGGCGGTTAGTCCCTTTGCTAGGTCTAGGGAAGCCAATAAAACAAACAATAACTTTTCAGTCAGGTTCTGTGTGCCTCTCCCATTGATTCCTTAACTCCACGGGCAGTTTCAGGGGAGGTTTTGCAGTGAAACAAGATTGAGAAATCTCTCCACACACAACATTCCTGTGGCCGCCAAGCAGCTCAGAGCCGTGCACTGGGTGACTCATAGCTCTGTCCCTCCCCTAGCTGGCTCCCTGAGCTGGCCCAATGGTAGAGGCCTCAAATGGCCTTAATGGCTCCTTGGGCAGGTAGGGATGGTGGAGCAGGTGCATCCCTCACAATGTGCTCTCAAGTCAACCCGTCTTGCTGTGCTGAGTGGGCCAAGCCCCCTTCAGTCTTACAGAGGCTCGGAATCATGGGCTCAGAGGACCTCAGAATCCTAATGTTGAAAGGGACCTCAGCAGCCTCTCAGAACAATCACTAGCTGGAAAGGGACCCCCTGACTCTCACACTCCAAAGGGAAGGAGCTAGAAGGTATCTCACAGCTGGGATATCTTCTTAAAGCATTGGAAGGGCTGATATTTGGAAGAAGACTAGTCTTATT